TAATTATTTTTTTCCTTGCATAACGGAGAGAAAACTGTAATGGTTTGGTATCAATTTCGTTTTACGAATATGATATTATATAATAAGCTGAAAAATGGAATATTTATTACACCGGTTTGATTAGTGCATTTATAGACTCATCGTTTATACATCAAGCTGTCCTAATGAAAATGTTTAGAGCGTGCTAAATATTTTTAAAGATTGTAAATCAACGTTATAAATTAAGAAGAATTTTACACTGTACGTGCTCGCGGTAAACGTTATGCCCAGCTCGTACCAAAATTGCGGTAAATGTTAGGTATATCCATCTTCGCATTCTGCAAAATGCAACCGCTCTCCCTTGCCTCAGGAAATTCGAATAACGAAGCTAATTCGAAGCTCCGGCTACGAATTAAAATTTCTCGTATATACATTTCGAGCAACTGATGGCTCAGATAATCATCAGGATGGAAACCAGTGTTCGGCGAATCATATATAACAAAAAGTATAAAATATTGAAGCATACTGTGCAGTCTGTAATAAGAGATTCAAACGAATTACTGGTCTCTGTGGACGTAAATGAAAAAATTCTTAAATATTCTTACTTTCGAAACAAATTATACATACACACATGACTATAATGAAACGTTTCATCTCAAGGAGATGCAACAATCAATAACAATTTCCAAGAAATTAAAATCAGTTTTGTGCGAATGATCGTGTGAAAGCCTAGATCATAAATATAAAAACACATTTCGATATATACAGTGAAAGTACTTCGCGAATTGTTTCTTAACGCTTTCAAGTAACCCGTCAACTAACGGTTTACAGTAATTAAACCGTTCTTTCTTCTCGGATTTTAACGAGTTTACGGCGAAGACAGATTAAACTTGAAAGGAGATATCCATAAAAACAGTATTTTTCTCCTTGCAATTCCACTTTAATGTAACTGAAATCTGCCTGCCGTAAATGTGTTTTAACCGTAGAGCTTCATTTCAATAATCCTTCAATACTCTGCTTAACCCTTCAATAATCCTCTCTCGTAAATTAAATATTTGTATCTAAAGCAAAGAAGAGAGAGAGAGTGAATTCCAAGGTACAGATGTTGGGTGTAGTAAACGTAAACGTGTAATAAAAAAGCAAGTTTGGCGTAGAAACAATTTCTAACCTATTGTAATCTAATTTCAGAAACAATTTGTACGTGTTTATAGCTTTGTGTGTGTGAAGAATTTACGTAAAGTTTAATAAAGCTTTATAAAGTCATGGGTTATTTTACATAATTTTTAAACATTTTCGATATAACGCTGACGGTACTATTATATTACAGTGCATATACACTGTATGTTGTTGTATGTGTGTACGGTACACTAGATATGTTAGTTCAACAAATGTTTCTAGTTATTAGTCAATGGAAACGTTATCGAGTTGCTAGGTTAGTGTCCATGTAAACAATGAAATGTTTGTTATTCGAAGCACGAACTGTCACAACTGGTTCAGTAACGTTACACTTATATATATACATATATTGTATACAATACATCAATTCTGACATTTATGTACCAATGTGTCCAGTTTAATTCTTTCATATATATTTCGAAAGAACGTTATTAATTTTGTTGATATAGATTCACATTTTCAGGAGCTATTAATTTTACATTATCCAACTGAACAAAAAGATAAGTTCGTGAATTAACGTCTTACGAAAACTTCATATTATAGTGGTAGTAGTATTCGCACACCTTTTAAAACGGAATCTTTTTTATAATTATTTCAAGAGATCTAAATTTTTAATGGAGGGGAGGAGGTTAGAGATATTAGTTCACTAGACAATGGTTGAAAAAAATTATTTTAAATTCTTTCAATTTCTTTAAATTTTCTATGAAAAATTTTCTTTTCTAAAACCCAAGTTCGTGATAATACAACGCTCGTTGTTTCATGTTTTCGATTTTTCTACTAACAAAGTTTGAACATTGAAACCTGGGACACCCTGTAGAATAGTGTATCGATGAAATTTATCGTGCGTAAGTGGTTCAGATGTAGCCTAAGTAATGATCAGGAACGTAAAAAAATTTTCGGAACCAGATGAAACGATTGTCAAACAGAAATTAATTAATGGTTGCGATGCGAACACCGTGGAGATTCGAGCCGGCTCGTAAGTTCGTTTCCAGTTCTACGATTTATTAATCAGAAATCCGTAGCTCGTTTCCTGACACAGCACGAGCGGGAAAAACGTACCCGCTGGAACAGGAGATAACTCGGGATAATAATTCAAACACTCGTCCGCGTAGGATTTTCTTTCGTAACTAAACATTCTCTGGGGGGGAAAACACTGTCATAAATTATCATGCGTAATCGCGTCGGGCAGAGAATCTTTGTTAGAAGAATCCAGCCTTTGAAGATCACGTTTACCGATACGGAGCCGAAACCGAACGTTCTTAGGCGAGAGAAAGCGCACTAATCGTTTCGTAAAATGTAAGCGCTATTTCGATAGCGAATTTCACACGCGGGAAGAATAAGATCGCGATCATGCGAATCAGCATTCCATTTGATTTCATGCTTGAATCGCGGACGTTCTTGTCGTGTGCGTAAAATATGTTGCAAGTGTATCCTTCTTTCAGTGCGAGCAATTATATGTTTTTTGTTATACATGGAACAAATGATCGAAGATGCTGTTAGCAATTATGTGTTTTTTTTCTCATTCCGTGCTAAGAATGATCTCAGGAATCTCCCATTTCCGGATTGCGAGACATTTTCGGGACACCCTGTATACAAACACTATGCAGCAGTTACAGACAATACAGAATTACAAATCGTTCGATTAAAGCAGATATTTGATATGTATCGTACTGTTATGCGAAACAAGGAGTAATACTCGTCTCTTATTTATATATCAAAATATGCTTCTTACATAAGTTCAACCACTGGAAGATTGTTATCACGAAAATTCAGAGTTCTTCTAGAGCGAGAAAGAAAATAATTTGCTTACGACACAAAGATATCGAACTAACGAGAAAATAACAATGGTCTTATCGATGCTTCTGAGGATTATCCTCGCAATTGCAAAAACTATTATACGAAGAAAACATTTATAAGTTTACAACCGTATAATTTCATTCTGTATTTCTTCTTCATAAGCACGTTAGCCGATTAATATTTACAAGCGCTGCAATATCCTATTGTTGTAATCGTCGTTTATGCTTATCAAAAGTTACATAAGGTACGGAATCTGAAAAGCTGTTTCATGTCCAATAGCACATTAACAGCACATTATTTTCAGTCGAGATCAGGCCTTCGAGGAAAAGATCACGTTACCATCGTACGTATTACAATTATACGATCACGGCCTATATGTTAACAATCTAACGAATCAGTGTAATTACATCTCGCGATATTTACCGAGCATTACGCAACGATGACTCTGCGCGCCGATTACGGTTTGTTCTTTTAACTCGCGTCGAGACGATCGAGTGGCAAGAAACGAACTCGGTTAATTCTGTCAAGAATGAAAAATTCCTTATTTAGCTACGATATGTCTAATAGATAGATTACAGTGCTAGCAATTTGTATTGCAATTCTAATTTCTGCAACTTACTTGCTACGTGATCTTATAAAATGCAAATTCCAGTTTCCTGGTCCAAAAGTGTAAAGACAATAAATAACTATGCAATTATTTAATACACAAATATACTAGATTTTAAATGAAAAGAAGAAACATCGGGATTTGCCGCGTAAAATTGATGCATTACATTCAGGAAATGTAAATACCGTAGCTCTTTTTATATAAAAATAAACGTTTAATATTTTATCATTATTAGGAATTTTTAAAATCGCTGACACTATTTTACTCGGGACACTAGATTACGTGACAGGGTCGCCGAAATTAACAAAAAGCATTTTTCAAATTTTCGCTACAGGCTCTGGTAAAAAAAAGTTGAAGAAACATCATTGTTTAATTATTTCATCGTTCCAACTAATTGTAATCCATCGATGCTCTCGAAAACTAGTCGAAAACTAGTAAAAAAAACCACACGTGTATCCCTATACACGTTAAAATTCTGGACCTCTATTTCGCACCCATCTGTCAGATGATCTGCGACCTCCGCAGCGTTTTAACCGCGCCGAGGCACCTTCCAATTTTAGGTGAGAATCGAACATCGCGCTTCTATCCCGGCGAAAACCAACGAAGAATGAAAATTCGGTGGTGAATCGTGGATTCGTTCCAGTTCGTTGCGGTCCGGATGAAAACCAAAGAAGTGTTGGTACGAAAATGTAAAAAGGATGGACAGAGGCGTACGAGACAGAGGAGAAAGAGGGGCGAGCTCGGAAGAAGGGTGAGAAATTGATCGAGAAATCGGGCATCGTTCTCGCAGCGAAACAAACAGCGTCGGAGTTTCGCGGTTGCAGAGGGTGCACTGATCTTTTCAGCTTGAAAATTCACCGATAACTGAGCGCCGCTCTATTTTATCGGCAATTAACGGCTAATTGCGCGCCGACGACGATAATGAACGAAATCCGCGTGCTAATGTTAACAGGAGTAATAATATTATAAACGATTTTGTGCTTACACCGGACGTCGAGTGGATAGATCGAACATTGGAGAATCTATGATCGATCGATGAACATTTGTACCGCTTTTTTTTAATTAGGTTTTGCGTCGTCCTCACTCATTTAACATACAAGGGGACCCTATGCGTTTGAATCAACGAACAAGTCACGGGGCATGAACTTCGGAATCTTTTTTTATTACTGCGTGACCGTGTTAATTTAAAAAAGAACGCTATTCATTCTCATTTCAGAATGTCTGAAGAATATTTACTAATTTTTCGAACCCGAAATAATAAGTAATTTAACTGTGTCAGCCGTTTTAATTTTCTGATGTGCATGACTCGTGCGTACCATATGAAATTTTTAAGCAAGGTGTACGGTGCAGATTAGCAAAGCACGTAAATGATATTTTAATTTAAATAATTCCGTGTCCAAACACATTTCAACGAACGATTCGCAAAGCTAATTTAATAATACATAATCGCGTTAAAGGACGTAAGGGATTTGTTTGTTAGAGAAATATGAAGAATAATATTAACTCTCAACTGTATCTAGCAGCGAGAAGGCGCTCTAGAGCCGCGGCCATCTGGCGGCCACGGCATGAAGCATAACACAAAGCTAGTCTCTAGCGAGAAGTTTGGCGCTCTAGCGGCAGTGGCGCGATTCTACGGCCACTCTGCGAGTCTGGTTAACGATTTCGTGGTGGGTTGATGTCGAAAAAGGGAGAAAGTCTCGCGTTGGGAATGTACCCGTTACGAGCTATTTTAGTGTTTTACTTTAACCTGACTGTGTTAACCTGACCATCGCTACATCAAATATTTTGATAAATTATTAATACACGTTATTTGTCATGAACAGCTTTCGGTAATAGTTGTTCAAAGCTTTCGATATTTATTAATTAATAAGAACGCTAAGAGTAATGTACAATAATACATTACGGCGAGACGATATCGATCAATTTATCGATTAATTTATGTTTGAATAGAAGCAGGAGCCCACAATGTACATACGCTGCCCTCAAAGTAAATTGACAGCGTTTGGTTACATGCCAGCTTAATTAGTGCGCGACTTTAAAAATATTATCAACAATAGCTTCCAGAGTTTGTTCATATATTGTAAAAGCCATGAACATTTTATATAGAATTTACAAGCTACGTTATATCTTAAAAGTGATAAAGTTCTCAGAGTTTATATTTCATTGTACAAAAAGTAAATAAAAACACCGATGAAACGCAAGAATAATTAATTTTCTAAATAATAACATTAGACATTATATCCAATGATTTACACAAGTTTAATTGCCCGTGTACGCTGTAACTTCAAACGAATGCAATCAGTTATTTTCTGAAAAATAGATTACGTTCTTATTGTTAATGAAAAATGTACTCTACATTAACGGCTTATAACTTTTATGAATTCATTGACAGAACTGAGTAGATGTAATCATATTAATCATATTAATTTGTACAGTAGATCTGAAAATAATACGACACTTACTCGTTAATTGCATTTCGTATTTTTCCTTTCGCCGAATAAAAAATTATGTATGTTGCGGATTTAAAATCCAACAAAAGAATCGCAATTAGTATTGAATCGTCGAAGGTGCAAAACCAACCTCTCTTCACAAACAAACGAAACTACAAAATAATCCTGCAATCAAATGCCGGCTTAGTGGGTTAAATTAGGTACTAAAACCTAATCGATACGAATCGACCCAAATGTTCCCGTCTGTAATCCAGTTTCATCGTTTTATTCAGCATTCACAGCTGCAACAGTTAAGAAATCCCATTAAATTGTAATTCATAGGAACATCGAATTATAACATTATTGACAACTACACTCGTGTGAAGAACCAGCTGATCTGGAAATCGATGAACACTGTATCAAATGCTTAAAATCAGTGACATATTTTTCAATGTATTTACATAGCGTTCGAACACACCGCGCCATGTTTCAATGCTATTTACAATGCGTATTTGATCCGGTCTCAATAATGTAAAACATTCATAAATAACAAACCCATTAATTGGTTTCCTCGAGTTCGGATAAATTTGTCGGCGCGTTGTTTTCGAGGATCGAAAAATGAAAAGAATATTGAAAATAGCGTAGCAGTTTCTATTGCGTTGAACGTCGGCGAATGTGTTCGCGATGAAAACAGAGGATACGTAAATTGGCCGCGATGAAAACGTACGACCGGGCTATAGTAAATCCATGTTAAAGGACTCGGCTGGTTCGGGGTTCTGTCTCTCAATAACACATGCACCATAACGTCGGTCATAAACTGTCGTTTCGCGACGAACTCGAGACCGGGAGCCGTGCGTGCGTGCGGCCGAAAGCATACGTAAGTGAATTTTACGCAAAACGTTTGTCTTGGATACTGGTTACTATGCCGCACGAAATTAGAAATTTACCGGGCCCGAAAATGCACACGATGGGGCGACATATTTTTCTGTGATATATGCGGAGTCCGCCGCTCTGCGTTCTTTTTTTTCGTGAAACATAGGAGAAACTGCTTGGAAATTCATAAACAGTATAAGCAGGGATCGAAATATACGGGTTATTTTAATTCCGGGAAAATTCTGTTAGTACTCGTACCATTTACTTAGTATTTACTCGGTATTTCTGTAGAATTTTTAACTATTATCAATATTAACTATCGTCATTTTTAACTATTATATTATCTAAAACTTGTACGACAAAAGTTCCATGGAAACAAGTGTTATTTAGAAAACTTATTGGAAAAAGTTTTACAATACGAATAGAGCTGTCAACGAAAAAACTGGGAAATCGTAATCACATAATTAATAGATCTTATTTATATATTCTTTTACAACTTGAACACTGATCTGCGAATATTCAGCCAATATATCGCAAAATTTCCCAGCAACGCGGGATTCGTTTTCCGACTTCTAATAAACCGTACAGCGCACACGGTCGGTCATAAACCGTCGACTCGTAACAAAGGATCGAACGTCGCAAAGCGAGAGCAACTACTCGAAACGCGAAAACAAGCGTGCACAGCCGTTTCCATGCTAGCACGCGCGTTCCTATTGCACAGCCAGCTAAGGGATACATATCAGAGGATCCTGTTGGTATCTTAGTTGGCTTTATTTCCGTTATCTCTGCCGTAGACCGAACCGGAATCCTTGTTCCGACACATACTACCTGTTTACGATACTTCCCGGCAAGATGGCTTCCACATTTCGACGAGTTCTAACGTCTGCCGATCGCTCGCCGGGAACAATATGATTTGCGATACAGTTAATTGGCCCCTTGTTCGATACACCGCTTGTAAATATTTGTAACTGAACTGCGAATCTTTATGCCGAGTGCCATACATTTGTAAATACTTTTACAACGAAAGACTTTACAACTGTAAGAGCGTAGACATTTGTTTTGTCTGTTGGTTCGTACGAAAAAATGATAAATTACAGAACTCGATTCAATTTAATATAACTTTAGTTTAGATGTACAGAGAAGCATAATTCTGTACAATTTCCGCTTTCCTGAATTTATTTATGAAACTACGAACTTGTAAAAACATTTGAAACTATGCGAACGTAAGGTAAAGCGAACTAAGGTATCGGAAATATGCGAATCAACATAGACAGATGGGAAAAGAAATCGAAAAGGTTCGCTCGTGCCAACCGACCACGGTCCTGCGTACACCAAACTGCGATCTAATTCGCCAGCAAATCGGTGCAAAGAATTTCGAAGTAGACACAACTCTGGACTGCACGAAGTTCCGACACTCTTCGACGTACAATCGCAAGGCGCGAGTCGTGGGTCCGCGCGATGGATTAAGGAGAGTTTTGTGGCGGTTGTCGAAAGTGAAATATATTCGGTACGGGCAAAACATTTATCGACACGTAAAGCCTTGGTTCGACCTTTATTAAATTCATTTGACAGTTTCATGAAATTCGTTGATCAAATTAACTTTTACTTTCTTTATTTCATATTTCTTATACACGTAATAAGTGGATCGGGTGAGTGAGTGAACTCCATCTTATCTAACATCCCTTTTCCCAAATTTTAGGTCAACTCTATTACTTGAACCGGTGAGACAGGCCTTGGTCTCCTCCGCGCGAATGTTCGTTGCAAGCTTCTGGCTTGCTTCTGTTCGATACTCGTAGCTGTAGAACACAAAATCACCAGGAAAAATGAGAAATATGCTCAACCTCGAGATATTTAGACAGATACTGATTGGAATTATATGTAAGTATAGGTGAGGCGATATCACGACGATTTCGAAAGCTGTCGAATAAAAATAATTGGAACACGCTCCGTCGTCGATCGACTAGGCAATCTGTTGATCGTCGACAGTGGATTGAACGAAGGATGGAGTACTCCTATTATACCAAAATTCGAACACGACGATCCTTTGAAAGTGTCCTCCGACAAAGTGGTTTGGGTGGTGAATTTGATGTATGTCGGCGTCGGACTCGGCTCTATCGTGCCTTTCCTCTTGATGGACAGGATTGGTCGTAAAGGAACTTTACTATTCGCCACGGTACCGAAGATTTGCAGCTGGATTTTGATCGGCTTAGCAGCCACCGTTCCTCAGCTTTACGTTGGTCGAATATTGGCCGGCATAGGCTGCGGAATAACATACGCTGTTATGCCGATGTACCTTGGCGAGGTTAGCAGCAAAAGGACACGTGGGCCTTTAGGTAAAATTGTTTTTTTTATTTATGTTATTTCTCTTTCCTTCGTTTTCTCATACTTCTTATTATAGATTTCTTGAACCTATTTCTCGTTTTCGTCTGTCTCGTAAAACTTTTCACGATACTTTAACACTTCGACTGTCCGTCGCCCATGTGTTGATGACAGAATTACTTGCTTATAAATAAAAATACTCTAATTTTGTGTAATTTTCGAGGTTGTCGGCGTGGCAGTCGAAGCGTAGCCTGTCTTTGCTTTTGTTGGTACACGCGTTATTAATATTTATATTTGTTTATACTAATCCTTCGTGGTCCTATGTCGAAGCAGAATCGACACTCATTTTTACAGCAACGGTTACTTACTCTTTTCTGATTTACATTACGCTCATGAATAATGCCACTACACGCGTAATAACAATTGCCGTATTTATCAACTGTTCTACATAGGTCTCGGTTAGGTCACGGTTAGGTTACTTATTTCTCTGATTTACATTACGCCCATGAATAATGCCAATATACATGTGTAACAACAATTGCGGTATTTATCAACTGTCCTACATAGGTTATGTCACACGTGGGAATATGATTAAGTTGCATTGTCATAGTAAATTTTGAAATAAAAGTGAGAAAACACATTGAACGGTAAAGGATCGGTATTTGTTGAATGCTTATTAAAATTTTAATAAATACCGTATTAGATGTTTGTGTTAATTCTGAGTAAATCCAAAAGATTCCGCTTTTCATCGAATTCTCGATGCTTTCGAATATTTTATTTATAATTGTCGCTTGATAAAGGAGACAACTTCGTCTTTTAAAATATCAGGAGTGGGTTGTTTTTGAAGGGTACGAAATAGGCACAGCACACGACCGTCTAATCATTGCGTGGGTCTGAAAATATTATTAACAATAGCTTTCACGCGTCGCTTATACATCGCGAAAGCCATTGAAATTATTCTGTAAACTTTACGAACATGATTCTATAAGTAAAATGAGGATTTCGATTGTTATTCCGGATTACTATTATTTTGGTTGCATTCGACCAATCAAATGTAAGACTTTGCAATTTATATCATATCACCGACGAAAACTGTGACAGTACTTTACGATACAATGATTTACTGAAATACTGAACAACATATTCTGTCATTTGTAGTCATTATTGACAACTGGATTTCGGATCTTTATGCAAAATAAAAATTTTCTGCACTCAAGTGCTGACTGTATACCACTCAAAATTGTTATATTTAAGTCACGCGTTTCAACTTTATATACATAGAATGTACTCTAAGTTTCGGATTTATAGTTAAAATGTTTCCGGTGTAAACGGTTAATACCGAACGACAAATGCAACGCATTTATTAAGCAGAATGTAACTAGAACCGAAATGCATAATCGAAAGCCATAATCGAGATCAAAACCGTGCAAGTCGGGTTTCTTCCATTTTTCATAACTGTTTCTGCCAAAAACCGCTTTGTAACATTTTGAAACGCTTATTTTGGGAACGGTTTCACCGATCCGAGAGAAGAAAGAACAAGAAACTAAGCTCCTAGAGTGATTCAGGTACGCTGATGGCAGTGCTGCTGAACACCGGTATGATGCTCGCCTACGCGATCGGTCTGTCGGTGTCTCGTTTCACGATGTCCATGATTTCGGTGTCCATTCCGATCCTGTTTCTGCTATGCTTTGTCTGGCTGCCGGAGAGCTCGGTGTTCCTCACGAAGAAGAACAAGCTGTCGTCCGCTGAGAAGACGCTGAAATGGGCGCTCGGCAAGGACAACGTGTTGGAGGAGTTGGAGGAAATCAAACGGATCGTGGCGACGGAGGATTCGGCCGGCGACACGACGTTCGCGAACTCGTTGAAGCAGACGTGGAGCAGGCGCGAGAATCGGAGAGCGTTCGGCATCGCTATGATCGTTCTGAGCGCGTTGACTTTAACAGGGGCGGCGCCGTTGTTGGCTTATCAGTCGTTCATATTCGAGGAAGCGGGCTTCCAGATATCGACGGATTTCAGCATAGTGTTGACAGGATGCGCGCTCGTGTTGGCCGGCATGATCTGCGTGCTGCTGGTTCGGAGCATCGGCAAAAGGCTGCTGCTGCTTCTATCGACCCCGGTCTGCGTGGTGTCGTTGGTGACGCTAGCCGTCTTCTTCGGCCTCCTCTCGAGTGGCCACGACGTCGCCAGGCTGCGATGGGTGCCCACCGTGTTCCTGGTGATTTATGTTCTCGGCTATGGCCTCGCCCTGAACCCCGTCCCGCTCGCCTACGTCGGCGAGATCTTCCACGTCGACGTTAAGGTGCCCGCGGCCATATTTTGCTCCCTTTATTACGCCCTCACCACGACCACCGTCGTGAAATTCTATCAGGTAGGTTTCTGCGCGACTGGTAATGACGCACTTGCGCGGCGAACGATTCGCGAGCGGCCCGCGTAATTTGGGTCGCGTCGGGACGCGTGCAACCCCTGGGAAATTTTAATCCTTAATGGGTCTCCATACTTCGACGGCTTTAAACATCGAATTTCTCTCGCGATTTTCTTACGCCGTGCTGCCCCCGCCGCCGGCGTAAAGTGTTCGGCTCGAGCCGTGTATATATTCGAAATTAGAACAACCGAGCGCTAAAAGTGACCGCGACGTGCAATGCGTTTTTTAAAATAACAAGATCGTATTTACTCAGCTGTTGCACGAATTTCGATTCAGAATAGGGTACTGGAGCTGGTTACTGTTGGGCGACCTAATCGCTGTGCCTCCGGTTTTTCATTGAAAACTGAACGAAATAGAAGAATACAATAATTTAATATGTCTTATTCGATAAATATAAAGCTGTAATACAACGAAAACAACGAAACAACTTTCCGAACGATACGATATACAGGGTGTCCCAAAAATGACTCGCAATCCGAAAGTGGCGGGTTCCTCGGGTCGTTCGAAACAACTTTTTCCTTTACAAAGTTTTCTCCGAGGCACCATTAACGAGTTATTAATTGTTATATTAAATTACTGTTAAATTACTGTTAAGTACTTAAATTACTGTTAAATGTTTTTTATTCAGAACCTTACAAAAAGGTAAGCATATTCATTTTATTATTAATATTTCCTTTACGAACGAAGAGACTCATTCAGCCATTCATAGCATTTCTATGTTTTTAAAATATGATCCGCCCGCTTTAGAATGAAATGGAATGGGACATATGTGAAATTTTTATTTTTTTTTATGAAATAGTAATGGCCAGGCTATTTATTGAAAAAAAGCTTTGAAATTATTTAGCAATTTAATATCTCGTAACGGTATCTGATGATTTAAACGCAGTTCCCTCGATTCAAATATTTTATTACCATTTATATTTCCAGTATGAAATCGTTGAATTCAATTTTCCATTTAAAAGATTCTGAAAAATCGTATTTCCAGCTGTCAAAGTAGGGACTGTATAACTCGTTGATTGTGCTGGGACGACGTCCTTTTTATCGCTCTTTGCAAATTCTCTTCATGTGTGCTCACATGTAGAATTTTTGCTACCACAGGGAAATTTTGGAGGAAAATGTAAGGTGGTTCAAAGTGGAATTAGGAAATGCAAAGGACTGTGCGGTGGAAGGTACTTTTAGATTACAACCTCCGACGAAAAATATTCGATCAAACGAACCAAGTTTATTTCATAATAATTATTCACGTATTTAATTTGGAAAACAATTTTACAATGTCGAAGATAAATAGAAAGATATTAGTTCTACAGTACTTCAGGGGTAAATGTTAAAAACCATTAATCGTGACATTAATCGAGGCTTTTAGAATATTGAGGATTTATAAAATACCGTATCTAATATTAACAACTTAATTTTAATAACGATTGCTCGAAACAAAAATACGGTATCACTTGATAAAATATATCGTTTATAATGTTCAGAAGATAAACGTATGCTAGTATGAAGACGTACCATTTCCTTCGTTAGTTTTGACGACTGAAACGAACCTGTACATTTTTTAACACCCCCCTAGTCAGACCTAACCTAACTCACCTTGACATAACCTCTTCCGAGTCATTCTTTATTTCGTAATGGTTATATTTTATCTTCAGTTAAAATATCTGAATGCTCACGAAATTGTCTAGTTACCTATTACTGGTTATTAATAAGATATTAATACCAAAAGAAATATTTTCAGTCACACATTTTGAGCACGTAGCTTCACGCTGATACATTTCCTTCGCATTTCGAAGCAGTCCTACGCTTTTCTGCTTTTTGAAGAGTTAAATCGACTCAGTTACTCGAGGGATAAGTCAACAGCGTAGAAGCGTCTTCCTAGCACATTATCAGATCCGAATTAGACGATAAAAGCGGTTGCAAAATAGCTTCGCGATGACGACCCGAATTCCGACTTTCCTCTCGTCGGAGGAAATCGCTGCTGCGCCGAGCTTTTCATAAAAGCCGAACAGCACAATTGAGAGTGATGGTGTTTCTCGCCTTGTTCATAGGTATTGCAAGAATCGTACGGAACGTACATGCCCATAGCGGCGTTTACAACGATCACATTCTTCATTTGGATACTAATCTACCGATACGTGCCGGAGACCGAGGGAAAGACCTTGGAGGAAATACAAATTGAGTTGAGAGGCAAATGCTGACGATTGTTCTCGATTGTGCACTGCACCATGATGTACTTAATAAATGACAGACAGTGTCGACTCGAACGTGAAATTTTCTTTCTTATTTTTTTCCTACCTTTCAACGCGTTCGCTATTACCTCGAAAATTTCATAAAATTCAAGTATTCTATTTAATCAAATTAAAATGATAAGTTGAGATACTTTACATCGATTAGATACTTTCTTAACATCCTTGCGTTTTCCAGATATTTCATTGTCATATCTATTTATCCGTTGTTGAGAGAAAAATAAGGTGAATTATCTTTCTGCAGTAAGCACTGACTTTATTCGCTACGAACGATCGAACTTATGGAGGGCCACTATAGTGGCCCGTAGTATCGAAAGGGATAAGCATTCAAGGTTATCTCAAGGTTATACATTAATACCATTATATATTACATAACCTTGACATAACACTTTCAATAGTAATAAAATCGACGATAATCATATACCCCCTGAAATAATAGGTACCATAATAGGTACATTTACCTTAATTCGCATGGTGGCGAACGTCTTCGTAGGTAATTTGGCGAAAGCCAATTGGTATACAGCATCGCTCATGTTCACGGCATACCGAGAAGCAGAAAAGGAGGGGAAAAAGGTCGGTGATCAATACCGACGTACGACTGATTCCGTGAAATCGGACGCGGCGTAGAGGGAAAACTGTAATTTCGACAAATTACACTCGAAACTAGCCGGGGAGGAGACATGGCGGAAGTGTAAGCGGGAAAGAGAGTCCTGGGACTCGTTTGATCGCGAAGTTCTCCGCGTCTGCAAAGAGAATCGCGAAGCAGCCAGATCTCGTGTAACGATACCGGGGTTCATGGGCGATCCGCTGGAAACTATTTGACTTCCGGTGAAAAATACGCGTGCCGCGTAACCAAACTACGCCCCGCGTTAACTTCCCCCTTCTGTTTGCTTTAACAGCGTGGCGTTGCTGATTCGTTTGTCCCCTCTTCGCGTTGTACAAAATTTCGTCTAGCAAAGCAAACGCTTTGTTACACCGCTTTGCTACCACTGTGCTTTGCCACGCTTTGCTACAAAAGTATTCGTACATCTTTTGAAACGAGATAACTTTCTCTTTTTATAATCGGGGCAAGCGATATAAATTTTTTTTTGAGCTGCTAGAGAGATTAGTCTACCAGGCAATGGCTATAAAGTCGTTTTCAAAACTTACAGTTGGTTGGAATGACAAAAGAGTATTATTTCCAAGTTTTCTATATGCTGCCTGTTCTCTCGAATTCTTCCCTTGGAACACAATGTTCCTCGTAATCAAAGCTTTCGCATTTCTATTCTTGGTCTCGCCACCCTCTCTTACTCTCTCTGTCTCGCTCTCGCTCTTCCTCTTTCTCTCTTTCTCCCAACGCAATAATAAAAGAACGGTTTAATATTCACAGTTTCATAAGCTTCGAGTGCGTCAATCTCTTTGTCCTCGTCAATAACCGGGTTTCGGGCAAACATACATGTGAACTATGTGACTCCGAAATAGGTACTTAAGTGTTTGTTCTGTAACCATTAATGGTGAACAAGAGTTATGCCGGCGTGAAATTGAATTTACTTCTCGTTGGCTAGTAAAATATTGGTGGGTAACGTTTCGCAAACCTATTCACGAATAACCAACGTGTTGTACGGGTGAAAAATAATGTTGGCTGAACGAACATGGATATTCGATGAAAATCGACAGGAAGTTTTTCTGAATTCCGATTTCACATCAACTCGACATAACCTTTTAATTTATTTTTTAACCGATTGGAAATTGTTTGTTGTATTACCGTGTGCCAGGTGCAAGCACACTGACTGTACCAAGTCTGACAAGGATTTTCATTCGATAGCTGTTCTAATTCTTCGTCCTCAACTTTTCTTAGGATTCCAAGAATCTGTCAGATTGAAATTCCCATTTCGTAGCCGTTGGAACCATTTTTTGTAAGTACAGCATTTTTTCAATTAAAATGCAAAAAGCATGCAGTGCGTCGAAGTTGTGGTGGAATGCGGTGGAAAGAAAAGGTTCCTTTTAATCGAAGATTTATTTTAACCCAATATTAGTATAATATTATTATAATATTTATATTATTTATTATTTATATTATAATATTATTATAATAATATTTTACCCAATTTTCCTGGTCACTATCATCGGAGCGTACATATACGCGGCTGCGTTTGGCATTGAATCCAAATATTTAATTAATAAAATAGCACACTCCCTAACAGTATAAGATCACAGAGACAAGCACCGATACCGATAACTATTACACTGCTTCGATACAATGATGATTCGTTATTTTACTTCTCTTTGTTATCTCTGCAATCACTATCGCCGGTGCATATACTGAAATTTGTTAGTCACTAAACCTATTCGTAACCTTCAAATAGAAATGGATGGAATTCTAGAATCTGAAAGCAGTTTTTCTGATTGTAGTGCAGACAAAATTATGCAGCTAAAAAGAAGACGAATTAGAGAAATAAGACCCGATAGCGATGATAGCGATAGTGATTGCGAAGTGCCTCTATGCATCCCACGTTTCAAATATTACCACACTGAACAAAATGTCTAACAAATAATGCTGAAAAGTGATCTTCTTTTTACTTTTATACAATTTTTCACCTAAATATGAAATAAAAATTCTTCGGTGATATGTGCCTTTTTTTCATATTTCCATATGTCAAGGGTCGATGATTAATTCGTACACCAAACATTTTATCGGTAGGAAAGCTACTAAAAGTAATTCCTTTGACGCGATGCGACCGCTGGATCCCTGAAATATACGCGAACGGTGTGTAGAACAGATTTTCAATTACCTCTGTGTGCCACTGAAATGCGCGATAGGACCACTAAAATACACCAGGACCTCTAAGATGCAGTAGGATCTCTGAAATGCGCCGAGATCTCCGCAAGAGTAAATATAGACCTTGTCCCTAAGCAGCCCAGAGGAAACGCGTCCGTCTCGGCGTCTTACGTATTCCTGGACACTTAGGTCTACGTGCCCGTCATACGTCTCCGGCAGAGTGTTTCGTATGCCGGTGTTAATGCGTTTCCGTGCTCCTGATTCGCAGAATCCCAACACACAGACACAGACACATACACACCGGCATGCGTGTTTCGAATACCTGGTTCGGTTCGAGGAGGACACTGCGCGCGTGCGCGAGAGCACGAGATCAAGATTGATAGGCTGCGAGTCGCAACACGTATGGAGCATCCACTTAGCGGTGCATTATCCCGATGAGAATGTGTACAGGCCGGATCTTACTTAATGCAGCGGCTGCAATCCTGATAATGGCAGCCACTTGTCCGCGAAGGAACAGGCGTGAACTCGGGCTAATCGGCAATTGCGAGCATTCGTCGGGACTCTTTCGTGACGTTGATTGCTAGGAACGATGATCGTCGAGAAGCCTGGTCGCTCTGCATTGGTAGTACTTTTTCTTTCGTGATTAAAGTGTTCAAGGTATGGTGCTCGTCGATCTTTGAACTTTGTAACTAGGGAGTTGTATTTGATTCAGTTCTTTGCTTTGCAAACATTTTAAAAAACTGTGCTGAGAAAGTTGGACTATTTTCTCATTATTCGAGTAGCCTGGAGGCGATGGTAACGTCTGCTAAAGCATGTAATTAGACTGCGGATCGATATGCGAAATGAGAACTTTCTGAGACAATTACAGGAAGCACGAGGTAGCTAAAGATTTATTTCAACTCTGAATAGGATCGATAAGTTGGAGACGATATGGCAGCATATTTAAATTTTCTGATGTGTTTGTTGATCGTCGTTTTATGCGTTCATTTTTGTCGTAAATTCATAAAATGCAGAATCCACCTCTGATACAAGTTGAAGTGATACAGGTACATGTCTGACTACTCGCAGACCTGTTCCACTTATTAACTCGGCACATGGTATTCCCATTCGTATCATCTTATCTCAGTTTTAGTTTCACTTGTCGTTGGTATCATCTTAACTCAAGTTTGGTCTCCATTTCATTAATGTAGTGAGTGTAGTGCGCGTGTGTGTCGTGTGCTGAGCGAAGCGGGGCAGTGGCACCAAAATATGTAGATATCGATTAAGAATCTCGAGTAAGAGAATAAAGAAGGAGAAAGGGTGAAAGTAGTCAGCGTCCAGTCTCGAAGCATTACACATATATCGAACTTTGCACTAGAATATATTTCTTTCCTCAATATATTAAATTAGATGATTCTTTAATCGAGATATTCGTTCGAAAGTCTCGCGATAGGGAATCCCAGATTAATGTTTCCTGAGATAAATATTTACTAACTAACAAGTGGTCATTTTATGTTTCCGATGTTCTTTACAACAGTGACATTAAATATTAATAATTTAAGACTTTGTCCCCGTTTACGTAAATATTCTTTGACTATTATTTATCGTGACATTAGTAACTAAAATCTTGTTTACGCATTACCGCGTCTCGAAAGAAAAATCGGGGAATGTTGTTTCGTAAAGATAATTCAGAGGGAAAAATTCCGAAGATTAAATGTAGTTAAGACATGACATTACGCAAGCAACTTGACGTACAAATCATAAACAACACTGCGAGGTATTAAAATATTTAAAACATTTGAGAACGAAAAATAAAGGGATCTATCCTCGTACAAAATTTTCCGCATATTTTCAATATGTTCAAACAAATCCCGTTGTGGAAATCCGTGTACGAATTCGAGGAATGCACTGCGCAGCTTTTTCCTCTTGTTTGCTCGAATACCTAGAACAGAGAATAATACAATACAGATACAGATACAGATACAGATACATATCCCGGGCAAGAAGTATGTAAATACAGATATTTGTGGTACAGTGAAGTTGATTGTTGTCTCTTTCATTGTTATGTACCCTGAAAAACGTGTTCTGTTTTTATTCAGGAAATACGAAATAAAACTCATCGGCATCGATAAACCCATCCTGCAACCTTTCCTTAAATAAAAACACTTAAAATAACGCTACTGTGAAAGTAAATAAATCTGAACATATCGAAACATCATTCCAAATCAATAATAAATACCTTTCCAAAGTAAACGTAATATTGTTATTACACAAAATGTCCTTTTTAA